TGTATAACTGATGATCTTCACTCAACTCACAATAAAAAGTTTCAAAAACAGAAAGTCTGTTCACATAAAAAACGGGAAGCCTAGTCTAGTCAGTTTCCCTTGTAATACTCCACAGGAGAAGGTGTATTATATCCAGGGAGTGATAAGATAAGGTCGAGGGTTCTTTGTTCTGTGCTCTTTATTTGATGAACATTTGGAAGAGGCTGATACAGAGATTCAGTTAGTTTAATAAAGTCAGGTGACTAGCTCATAGAAGCATATTGATGAAATCAAGGATTTCTAAGGGTCAAAGTGCTCTGAGACCCAATGTATTATCATATTGTCACCTGATGGTTCACAAGAGTGGACTTTCTTACAGACAGGACAAGAAATACTGGGAACATAAGAGAGCAATGAATTTGTTTAAGGAAATATACAAATAAACTAACGGGTACATGGGAACAGAATAATTCTATAGTCCACTGCTACCACAAATTTAAAGGAGCCCTGGTAGGAGAGTGATTTACAGCCTCGAAAATTGTATGCCCGGGTCTCTGTGAGTCAGAACCGATTCCATGGTGGCACAAAACCACCACCACCTCCTTAAATTTATGGAATCAGAGATTTTGCGGAACTGTAAAGTTAGAAAAAAATACATAAGAATTTTACTTCAGAAATATGATAAATGTTAATCATCTGCTGTTTCTCTGTCTAAATCTGGAGTACTAGTTTCATGGTCATGTCTATTTTACTGGCTATCCGCCCTATTAAGGAAGAAGGTCTATTTACTGCTAAAAGACCAACTTTGTTAAATTATTGAGTTTGCTTTTTTCATAGAATATTAATTGCAGTCTTTTGTCAGGATTTGTAAGTCTAGTTCCACTATATGTATATTTCATTTCTTTTGTATTTCAGAAATCAGCACTTTTTATATGCTCAATATTTTACATGTAAAAGTTTAGGGCTTTTGCTAAACTTGTTGTTGTATGACTCATAGTGACCTTATGCATAACAGAATGAAACACTTCCTGATCCTGGGCCAACCTCTAAACCAGGTTTACTCTTTTCTATTTTTTTTTCTACACCATGCCCTTTTAGCTTCTATTTTCCCACCAGTGAAATAGCTGTCACAATCTAGTAGATGCCCCAGCTATCTGTCTATTCTTTCATTTTAACTTTTTTTGGTCAATTTTGGGTGAGTTTTTATTTAACAGGTTTACTCCAGACCCCTTTTTCAGTAGGCACATTTCTGAAAGCAAATGAATACAATGAAGTACGCTCCACTATGACAACATAGGATCCCTGCAATTTTGGAAGCTGTGCTGGATATTCTGATTATCTGGCTCATCCTGGGCAATTTTGGAGTCTACCCAGTTCTACGAGTTCATTCAAGTGACCTTTATGAAGCTGTAAAACCCATCAAGGCAAACCAGTAGTGCTATGAATCAGAGGTTAGGGGTCATGAGAGTAAGATGGACTGGTAAATTACTATGTTTGCTAAATGTTGAATGAAAAACCTAGGATAACTCACTTTTCTTTACATTAAGACAGGCTCTTGGGTTTCAAGAACTGTAATTTATCAAGCATCTATTACATGAAAAGTACCTGGCACGTAAGTACTTTTTTTTTTTAATCCTAACTGCAAGCACAACAAAATAAAAATTTCCCTTTTTAATTTTGAAAACCGAGGCTGGAGAATTTAAGTGACTTATGGGTCAGAACCGACTCAACAGCACTTAACAGCAACAACAATTTAGAATCATAATGTAAATAATTAAAAGATGTTTTTAACACCTTCTCTGATTAAAAATATGTCTCTTGTTTTCCTACTTTTAAGTTACATCTAAAGAATCATTTATCTAAGTTCTATGGCTAGCATTTTAATGGCAATAAAAGACATTTATTTTATATAGGAAATATCTGCCTGGGAGACTAGTGAAAGAAATAAATAGCACTCTGGTTTTAACCATCACCACATTTATCATACATAATTATATGTAAACTTATTATATATGATGGAATACAGTGACTTTGTAGGATAAGCACTGGGCTGTGAACCACAAACTCAGTAGTTTGTGTCTACCAGCTGCTGGGGGCAAGATGAGGCTTTCTGCTCTGGTAAAGATTTACAGGCTTGGAAACCCTATACAGAGTTACTATGAGTTGGAAACTGATGGCAATTAACAACGTATATGAGAGGAATCCTGGTGTAGTGCTTAATCCTGTGGGATAAAAGCACTGGACCACAAGGCTGGTTTGAACCATAAGGTTGGTGGTTCAAATTCACCAGCCACGCCTTCAAAACCCTATATGGGGTTGCCATGAGTCGGAATTGACTCGACAGCACTTAACAACAACATGATAGGTTTGAAGTCCTGGTGTGGTGCTGCAGGTAAATGAGCTGGACGGCAAGGTCGGCAGTTCAAATCCAGCAGCTGCTCCTTGGAAACCCTACACTGGGTTGCTATGAGTTGGAACTGACTCTATGGCTGGCATTTAACAACAACAACAGTATGATTGGTATGGACTTCTGGTGTGGTGTTGTAGGATCAGCACTGGATTGCAAACCACAAGGTCAGAGGTTCAAATCCATCAGGAAATCATACACAGGGCCACTATGAGTTGGAACCAATTAGATGTCACTTAACAACAGCATGATAGGTTTGTTAAACTTATCATGAATGATAAATTAATTTCAAAAGTAAAAGCTTATTTTGTACATAACGTGAAGCAGATGAAATACCTCTGCGTTTTTGGTCTAAGATTTTGGATGTGAAATATATATACATTTTTAAATGACTCTGTTACTTAATGTTGTTGTTGTTAAGTACCGTTGAGTCAGTTCTGACCTGTAGCGACCCTATATAGGGTTTCCAAGAAGCAGCTGGTAAGCTTGAAGCACCAATCTTGTAGTTCAAATGGACTTTGCAATCCAGCACATTAGCCCACAGCACCACACCAGGACTCCTTTATGTAGACCTTATTAAGTGGCAAAAATTGAATATGAATAGTTCACTGTGACTGACAGTGAAATGCTATTATAATAAAAATTGTCTATCAACTTGTTCTCTCTTGAAATGCCTGAAGCAGTTCACTGTAAGTGTCAGATTCAACTATATGATGGAGAAAAATGGATGTGTTTTCTCCCATCTTTATATTAAGGGAAAATGGATGGTGCCAAAATAATGCTGGAGGAAATTTTATTTCAAAATTATCTAAGAATGGGTTGTGTGACACGCTTCAATTATGCCATTTAGTTTTGTGGGAGCATGGTGTCTCCAAACGATAAGCACTGAACTCAGAACCACAAGGTCCGCGGTCAAGCCTGACTGCCACTTAGAGGGAGAGAGATGAGTATTTCTGCTCCTAAAAAGATTTAAGCCTTGGAAATTCTAAACAGAGTCCCTATAAGTTGAAACTGCCTTGACGGTACTTTAATAACGACAACAATTTTTGTAGTAAAGTTTTCTCTGGGTAGGTAATTCTCACCATGTGGGGCCAGTAAGCTTTAGTTTTACGCAAATCCTTAGTTATCTAATCATTTTCGTTTCACCTGATACTGACTGAGAGTAAGGGCTCCAACTTGTGGTAAGTCTCACATTGCTTTTCCCCTTGAAAGTTCTGCTTTGGCCTATCCAGTGCCAAGTTCTCCACTGATGTCTTTGCCTTCTCTTTCAGGACTTTGTTTCAAAAACTAAACTGAACTCATTGCTCTCTTCCTCTTCTCTGGTGGCCAACTACCCTTCCATATCAGCTGACTATACTGAATAGTCTAGTTCTTAAAAACAAAACTAAATCCTTTCCCAACTCTTCTTCCTCCTCTTTCTTCCCTTCATCTCTTGTTATTCTAGGGCAATAGATGATTTCTACCCCTGCATTTCTTCACCCTCTTCAATTGGACTTCCATATTTAGCATCATACAGTATTCTTGAGGACCAAAGGCTTCCTGACTGTCATGTCGTCTGGTTCTTTTAAACATTTTTCCTCAACTTTTCTACAAGTCATACTCTACTTAAAGCTGCCTTTGAGTCTGATGACACTGGAGAGTTTTCTAGTTTTTTTCTAACACTAGTGTTTTTCACACTACTATTTACCTGGATTATCACTTGTTTCTATTTCCCTATCTGTAGATCTCAACACTTACATAGTTATGAGTAGTTCTCAACCCTGGTTATGCATCAAAAATACCTATGATACTTTAAAAATAATTCAGTTATTTGGGATCTACCCCATTGATTCAGATTTTCCAAGAGTAGACACTGGGAAGATGTAGTTTTACAAAGAATTCCTCTGGTGATTTTGGTATATAGCCATGGTCGTAGGTGTTCCTCAAAAATTTCCCTAAAACTCTCTCCTTGGTAATTTCATGAGTTTTGAGCGTTACATAATATCACTTCCGTAAGGTAACAGTTAAGGATCCCTGGTATCATAGTGGATTACATGCTGGGCTGCTAACTGAAAAATCAGCAGTTTGAGTCCAACAGATGCTCCGCAGGAGAAAGACAAAAGAAAGCTGTCTGCTTCCATAAATAAAGTCTGACAGTCTCAGAAACCCTGAGGAGCAGTTCTACTCTTGTCCTATAAGAGTTTGTCCTATAAGAGTTGTTATAAGTGAAGGGCAGTGGGTTTTGGTCTGGTTTGGGGATAAGGGTATTCTGGAAGGAGCTCTCGTAGCGTAGTGGTTATGGACTGGGCTGCGAACCCCAAGGTCAGCAGTTCGAAACTACCAGCTGTTCTGCAGGAGAAAGATGAGGCTTTCTGCTCCCGTAAAGATTTACAGCCTTGGAAACCTGTACTGTACAGGGTCGCTATGAGTTGGAACCAAACCACGGCACATTACCACCACCAGGGGTATTCTGGAAGTTAAGAGACAGAAAACTAACAGGCACAATTAAAAAATGTCAACTATGCCAGGATGCAAGCTAATTTTCACTTCAATGACTATTAGAAGTGAACCACGAAATGCGACATTCTCTTTAAAGACTTTGATAATAATTCATGGAAAAGATTTCTTCACTTACCTCATTGCTACATTGCTGCCATCAATAACTACTGGTCTCAGATTTTCACCATCATCTGTAACAATTTCTTGCATTGGAGATTCAGACCTTTGAGATTCCAGGGAAGATGTTTCCCGCAGTACACTGTTAATCGCACTAACTGTTTGATCAGTCTCACTTTTATTTCCAAGCTTGACAAGTTCTCCTAGTATATCATTGATTAAAGCATCAGTACCAAGTTTGTTTAGCACAAGCTGAACCTGTTCTTCAGAATAACCTAACTTAAGTGCAAACTCCAGTTTTGTTTGGTATTCTCTTACCACATCAGGGGGTTTCTTCACTTCCTTGGGGGTAGCCTGGGATTCTTCGGTTTTAAAGTCTTGCAAAATCTCATTGCGTTTGAGTATGTGGGGTTCTAAACAGGGAGACCTACAGAGTTGTCTGTGAGCCTTAGTTAATAAGCATGGCTCTATGGATATGCAACTCAATTGTTCGGACTCATTATCAGAATTTGTGCTTTCTTCGGAGTCACCAGAGCTTGCGTTTTCTTCAGACACCTCTTTTTCTGTATCTTCTTTCCTGGAGTTCACTTTATCCATTGTTGGTTTTTCAACCATTGGCCAAGGTACAGCTGCACTTAAATGTGGGCCAGTGGTCTCCACATAAAGATGGGCTAGGTCATGCCCCAGATGATCCTTCAAGCCCATGAAGCTGTTACGTGTACTTGACTCCACTTTGCTGTTTTTTCTGTATTCCTGAATGCAAAGAGCTCCGTATTCCTAAAGAAAAATACACAATATTTAGGATTTCATATTTCCTGTTACACTTCTGTCTTTTATGGAGCACTTGTAAGATAACCAATACCTACTCTGCGTTTTGTCTACATATTCTCATCCTTTAAAATACCCTTGCCAAGACAGTACAATGTCCCATTTCTTAGTTTAAGAGGGTATGAATTATGGAGGCCACACATAATTCCTCCAAGGCAACAAAGCAAGTAAGTAGTGGAAGGGGAATTTTAAACATATTATATTGTGGTTTATGTGCAAGTTCACAGAGCAAATTTGTTGCCCATTTAGCAACGGATATACAGAGTGTTCTGTGATACTGGTTACAGTCCCCACAATACGTCCTCTAGTTCCCCCCTAGGGTTTCCTGTTTCCCTTCACCAAGTTTCCCTGACTTCTTAAATTTGCTTTTGGGCAAATGCTGCCCATTTGATCTCTTATGGTTGGAACTAGATTTTAAACGCAGTTTTGTTTGACTCCAAAATTCACGCCCAACATACATGGAAAAGAGAGAGATTTTTCCACTTTTAGAAAAATGTACGCTTCTAGAGTAACACAGAGTGCTTTCATAAAACATGTTTTAGATATGCCAATGGCAGGCTGTTTATATTTTCTCTTACAGAACTCATAAAAATCTATTTTAAATTCTTTACAGAGAAGCCATGTGGAAATAAAGAGAACTAGTAACTTATAATACTTGGAAAATTATCATTAATTTGAATCAAACTTAACAACAATCTGCATTAAAGTAAAAAAAAAATTATATTTTAGATACTACAAGGAAAGAGCACATATTCTAAAACATCTAAAGAAGAATTCAATAATTAGAAAGTGAAACATAGTGCAGTTAGAGATGCATACAGTTTTAATCCAGTAAGTACTGGACACGTGGTAACAGACTTTTAGCATTACACGACCCTTATATTCAGGAGTCTTGGGGTGGTGCACTGGACTGTTAAGCACCAGGTTGTGGTTCACCAGTCACTCCTTGGAAACCCTATACAGGGTCACTATGGGTTGGAACCGACTCAATGGCACTTAACAACAACAAAAAATTTGGTTAGGAGGTCATCTTTCTCCCATTGTCTCCCCTATAAAAATATTTTTACTGTCAAAATGAGTTTTTCTTATACTTCATTGTAAGGTCTATATCCACAATGTTATTGTTGTCAAGTACCAATGGGTGGGTTTCAACTCATAGTGACTCTGTCTAGGGTTTCTGGGGAGCAGCTGGTAGGTGTGAACCAATGACCTTGAGGCTACCAGTACAGTGCTCATCCTACAGCGCCTCATCCGGACTCCATATCCTTAACAGCAACTTTCTGATTAAAACAATTCTAGAGTTCTGGTAGTGTAGTGGTTATGAATTGGGCTGCTAACCTCAAAGTCAGCAGTTCGAAACTACCAGCAGTTCTGCAGGAGAAAGATGAGGCGTTCTGCTCCCGTAAAGATTTACAGCCTCGGAAACCCTGTGCAGGGTCACTATGAGTCAGAATCGACTCCACAGTACTTAACAACAGTGCGCTGGTGTGGCACTGTGGATTATTGCACTGGCCTGCAAAATCAGTTTGAACTGCAAGGTCGGTGGTTCAAGCTCACCAGCTGCTCCTTGAAAACCTTATACAGGGTCGCTATGGGTTAGAACCGAGTTGATGGCACTTAACAACAAGTTTGCAATTAGGATAACTTGGGTTCTCTGGATATCTGTTCTTAAGAAGTCATTGGAGTTTAATGCTAATTGAAAGGTAGGTGGTTCAAACCCACCAGCTGCTCCGCAGAAGAAAGATGCAGCAGTCTGCTTCCATAAAGATTTTAAGTTTAGAAACTTTATGGGGAAGTTCTATTTTGCCCTATAAGGTTCACCATGAATCAGAACTGACCTGACAGCATTAAAAAAAAAAAGAAAATCCAGTATAACATTAGCATACTAGTGGATGAAGAGAGTTTAGCCTGTCATAAAACACCTATTTAAATAACCTGTAAAAGTGGGAAAACATTGTATTCTAAAGCTCTTCAACATATATTTACAATTAAAAGGAGCTATTACATAAATGTTAAAAGAAAAAACATTACGTTATATTCTGAGAAGACACAAATTTGAATGCATATTTTAGTCATTTATCAGCAAGTGAGGCATATTTACATAATGAAATAAATCATATTAACTCTCAGTACTATAAACAGAGTGACATTAAGGAATCCTTAGCTTGATAACAATGTACTTAAAATTCCTTCTGGGTAGAACTTGTACAAACTTCTATAAGAGCCTTTTCAGGTTTTATTTCCCTGAGAAAACAGATAACTTTAAAACCACTGTTCCATCAATAAAATAATATGGCATTCTTTAGTATTAAAGAAACAGCAAACTCTCTTGGCTCCTAAGTGCACAATTGATAAAACTGAATATCCCTTAGAAGAGGTCTATCAGCATCTGTTCTATTATGAAGTTATATCTATTTCAGTTTTTTCTATTAACATAGATATGCATAAGCCCAATTATTTAGAATTAAAGGAAGGGATTTTGAAAGCAAATCTTTATACTCAGTGATTTATTAACTACTGTAATATACTGACACCATAATGCGAGTAACAAATCACAACAGCATCCTAATAAAGGGATACAGTTAAAAGAAAAATCTGCACTGTGGCCCTTCCTAGAGCTCCCACCAAAAGTAATTTTAAACAAGGAAAATCTATTGGAAGCTGGGCTGCCTGGCAACCAGAGGCTTGTTGCTAAGCTGCACTCCTTTAACATGCCATCATGAATGCTAGCACAGTGAAAGAATAATTTGGTATGAACAAAAGCAGATAAAAGAGACTGGGACTTAAGTGCGTCTGGTTTACCCTCCAAGAACAATGTAGCTGCCAAACCAAGCTGGCAGCTCCGACATCATTGTTCTGTAAACCCCGCAATCTGCTCTGACTGCAGGAAGTGTATTGAATGGGCAACATTTTTTGATCTCCCCTGAAAAGTTTGGGTTTTGCATAAGTGCTGTTGTGAGATAATTCTTCAGGATAATAACTCACTGACCAAAATCCCTCACTCAAACAGGGAAATGTAATTTTCGTTCTTGAGTTCCAGTACTTTTCTCCAGGACCATATCAGATCAGATGGATCATTTATGAAAAATAAAGATGAAATCCTTATTTAAAAGATAAGTGAAATTCTTAATTTTCATATTTTCCAAAGAAATAAAACCAAGTACTTCAGAGTTTTAAAAATGAAAATTAACCATTCTTTTTTTAAACCTACCTAATTTGAATCTAGTTTTTTTTTTTTTTAAATATCTCTTCCGTATAATTTTATCTTGGTTATAATAAAAAAAAGAGAAAAGAAAAATAGGATTATCAATTGTTTTTATACTGTTATACCAGGTAAAACTCATTTGTGTGCCAATACCACATACCTTTAGTTTGGGATAATTCATATACATTATACATATTTAAATGAAAAGTTTTCAATAAATTGGGCCAACAGGATTTTTGAAGCTAAGGATAAATGTAAGCCTGGCCTACTTTATTTTACTAACATCTAATTAGGTTAGATGTTAGCATGACTTTTCTTTTAAAATATTCTGGTTGAACTTTTTCACACAGGTATGCCTGTTTGGAGCTGTAGGATAAGCACTGGACTGTGGCAGTTCAACCCCACTAACTGATCCTTGAAAACCCTATACAGGATAGCTATGAGTCGGAACCGACTTGACAGCACTTAACAACAATAGTCCTTTTTCTTCATCTTTCCAATTTCATTGTTTAGCTCAGATAAAGGTACCCAGTTGCACCTTGCACTAAGTAAGCAGTTAAGTAATCTTCAGAACCTGCAAAGCAGTAAAAAGAACAGGGAAAAATACATGAGTGAATGAATTCAATTAACAGACCTACATAGAAGCTGCATATATTTTTTTTTCTATCCTATAATACAAATTTGATGTAACCTGATTTGTACTGATTCAAATGGCAAAGTTTTAGTTTTTAAAATGCTGCCTTACCCATTTGTAATTAGTTCAAGATTACCCCGACTCCATGTGTTACATAAAAATATCCTAATTTGGCAGTATCTTGAAATCACTCAATAAAAAAAATTAAATGCTAGTCTTAAGATTTAAAAACTCACCAAAAATATTTTCACAGTCTGCAGCAGTTCTTAATATAATGGAATGTACAAAACTTGCAAAGTAATTACTATAAAAGATTTTGGGACAAAGAATGGTATTTTTCTTTTATTTTTGTTCAGTGCCTTAAAAATGATCAACAAGTTTGAAAAACAAAAGATGGAACCGATACCAATAACTTAAATGTAAGATTTTTCTTTCATTTCTAAACCACTTATGCATCTTTAAGCTGTTGCATCTACTCAAATGTAAACCTGTGTTAACTTTTCTTTGCAAACAAGGATCATTTTCCTTACTTCAATCAGAAGCAGCACAAAATTTCACACAGAAAGTTGGCCAAAGTATATACTCCTTGGTTACAAGAAAACTAAGGTAACATAAACTATATGATTTAACTTTGAAACTTTCTATCAGGGTCCAATTGTAATAGTGTTTTATATGCTATATGCTTGTACCCAAAAGGTATTGACACAAATAAGTAAATAAATGATTTGAGAATGTATTTTTTCCACACTGACAAAATCTCTAGAGTCCCTCCAAACACTGTACCTGAAACCCAAACAATTTTTCTTGCTGGTGGCCTAATAAATTAAAAAAATCAATAAATCAGTTTGTGGAAAATGACCCAAATTTTCATGTTCATTTTTAGGTGATGATGAAGTATGACCAATTTTTTTTTTTTTTTTTTTAAGTTTTCAGACAGGAACTCTTTCACGTTCTGCATGGGCTGAACATAGGTTTGTGATATAATGGCTATTTACCAGAAATGTATGGCATGCTCACAAACCCTGCTCCCTAGGGAAAAGATTTTCTGAAAATTCTCATTAGATAATATGGGTAAATCCCTCACCTCAAATCAAGTAAATACAAAATTTTTTTTTAATAAAATAAAGGAGCCAGAGATTAATCAGCAATACTATACCATAAACTTGTTAAAACAATTTGTTTGTAAACGTGGAATTACAATGGCATAAAAGTGGGTTCTGGTTGTTATCCAAATGGTAATACTATGAGAACAATGAACAAAAATAATGAATATGTAATAAATACCTACTGCTGTAGCCCCTGTGTATTTAATTACCATTGTATTTCAGTGAGTACTGATGTCTGCATCTCCACACTAACAAAGGAAGGATGTCCCTTTGAACAGATTGGTTAATGCTCTGGGGCAGCAGATGTCTACTGGAACTGCAGGAGACCAGCAACTGGTGGCCTGCCCATCTTCTGAAAACTTTCAATAGACTTATGCATATGTTCACACAATAGGGCATGTGGTAGAGATGAAAACCTCTTTTTAACCCTTTATGCGCTTTCTTTCCCTCCTAACTGAGAGATGAAAGTCTTTGTACCCTCCTTCTCTCTCCATTGCAGAACTCTAAAAAGCAGTAATTTGAGGGGTGACATCTTCTATCGAATATTGGAAACGAACGCAAGTACAAACAAAAGTGGGGAGAAGAAATTACAAACTGTACATGAATGCTGACACTGTTAATAAAGCAATTCAATGCTTAATCATCTTATTTAACACAAGCTGTCTGAAATAACACCTGACTATATCCACCCATCCATCTCCCCAAACTAGAGTCTTCAGACAACGGAAAAGCTATCAAATCTTATCATTTGACAGCACCTCAGTAGGATGGTGACACCATAAGAAGGGTAAGAATTTGATGAGAAGATACAGTCGAAATTCGCTGTCTATCAAGATATCAGATATCTTGTTGGTCAAAACTTTTCTTTAAGTTCCAAATGATCCCATGCCATCCTGAAAGCCTTGCAAATGTTCATGAAGTCCTAAGTCATTATTTACATTCCTCCACAAAATAAACATGCAAGAAATCTGCTTCATAGACATATTTTACAGAAAGAAGTTATTTTCTGGTATTTCGGAATTCTCTCATAATTTTAGGCTTTCATTTGAAGTGCTTCCCATCCTTTACAGAATTCAAATTAATATGGAATATTTTGCAAAGTTGAACTTCTAAGGCATTAAGTACCATACTCACGTCAGTAGGAAAATACATAGACATGGTTTCTGTAGCAGCTTCAGCAAGTAACTCCTTAACACAATTTTAGCTGCAGACTTCCAGGCAGGCAAGAAGAACAATGAGTGGTTGAACAGATGGAATGGCAATGTCTTTGCTTAACCTATTACCGAGTGGAATAACAGCCAATCATAGGCCAGAAAGCTCACAATTAGTTGGCCAGGCAGATGCAAGCCAACCTCAGCGCCCTGCGTCAGGTTCATAGGTTTCTCAGATAAGCAAGTTGATGTCTGCCCAGGGCAGCATGTGTATTAACAAGGGGTGTGCAGCCACAATAGGCCATACAAAGCTGGCTAGCAGGCAGCTGCTCTCTGAGAGCAGAACCATTAGGGAGCAGGCTGCCAACAAGAAACACCTGGCTTGGGCAGACTTCAGCTTTTCCTCTTTGTTTTTAATGCATGAAACAAAGAAACCAATTATATTTTAAAGTAGTAAAAGTTGCATATTTCTAAAAAGTGGAGGCTCGGGCTCTAGTCGATTAACTTTTCATTTCTGTGTGAGAAATGAAGAAAAGGAGGTGTGTCAAAGTAGCAATTATTCATCACAGCAACCTTTTCCCTCTGGTGAGTTACTGGTTGAAAGAGACACAGGTTATGGTAAAATTATTTCTCTGTAAACACTGGTAAGTCTAAAAAGTATTTAAAAATATTGCTTCATTTGTCATGGGTCAAAGAGATGATGAAAATAAGGTTGGGCAAAAGTGACTGAAGAGTGCAAATAAAGTTGACTTTAAAAAAAGTAAGTTCACGAAAAGTATAGTTGATAAAACAAAGCTTGATCCAACTTTGTGCCAAATGAGTCATCAGAATGTAGATTTAGATAAAACTATTTAACTTCAACTTAACACAATACCAGGCCCAAAAGTGGTCTAAAATTCTCAATGCAAAAATCTTTCTTTCAGTTTCAATATACATTACAATTTTACCCATGTTAAAAGTAATTTCACATCATTTATAAGATGGAGTACTCAAATTTCAGTTCAGGAAAACGAAGTTAACTTTACTGGAGAGAAGACAAGCTGTAATAGTTTTGTTGTTAAGTGCTGTTGAGTTGTTTTTGACTCAAAGTGATCCTGTATAGGGTTTCTGAGGAGTGGCTGGTGAATTTGAACTGTCAAACTTTGCAGTTCAAACCTCCGTGCCACAGTACATAAAACAGACAAAAATGAGCCTGCTATTCTTGATTTATTTCAGTGTTCTGAATTAAATTCGACTAGTAGGACTCAAGCTGGTAACAGTAATGAGGTTGGCCCAGGATCGGGCAGTGTTTCGTTCTGCTGTGCATAAGGTCTCTATGGGTCGGTACCGACAACAAGAAGTAGTATTTATGGAGTCCTGGTATAGCGCTGTGGGGTAATGTGTCAGACTGCAAAGCTGTTTGAACGGCAAGGCAGGTGGTTCAAGCTCACCAGCCGTTCCTTGGAAACCCTATACAGGGTCATTATGGGTCGGAGTCAACTCGATGGCTTTTAACACAAGAAGTAGTAGTATTTATGATGGAGTCCTGATGTAGTGCTGAGGGTTAATGCGCTGGACTGCAAAGCCGGTGGTTCAAGCTCACCAGCCTCTCCTTGAAACCCTATAAAGAGTTGCTATGGGTCGGAACCAACTCAACAGCACTTAACAACAACAAACAAAAGTATGATATTATGAGCTGCTTGCCTCTGAGAGTTGTGTAGGTTGCATCTGGAATGGCCTTTGATTACAAACACTCATTTGCAAAGCATTATCAGGCTATTTCCTACTTTAAAAAAATAAAAAGGAAAGGAAATCTACAGATACCCTACTTATGTAATGCAGTAATGCATCACACACACATATACACACACATTCCCCTTTCATTTCACTGAAAAATAAAAGAATGAAAGCAGATAATTGCTCTTAACATACAAGTTCCTAATACAGGCTGATTTATGCAGAGCCAGACTGCAAAGTCATTTGAACTGCAGGGTTGGCAGTTCAACCTCAAGAGCTACTCCTTGGAATCCCTATACAGGGTCGCTACAGGTCTGAACCAACTTGATGGCACTTAACAACAAGACTTCATTAGGAGTCTTGGTGTGGTACTGTGGTTTAATGCGTTGGAATGCAAAGTTGGTTTCAATCACAAGGTCGGCAGTTCAAGCTCACCAGATGCTCCTGGGAAACCTTATATAGGGTCACTGTGGGTCGGAACCAACTTGACGGCACTTAACACTTCATTATATGACCATCAACTCTAAAGAACGTTGGTTAGAGAGTGCCAAACAATCTAATCAATTTATTTTTCATATACAAATACACAGACTACTAAAAGTTGGGATAATTTGTTCAGTCCTTGGGAAAAAAAAGTATGGAGTGGCACTGCAGGGTAATGCACTGGACTGTAAGTTCAGTTTGAAACTCAAGGCTGCCGCTCCTCAGAAACCTTACACAGGGTCTCTATGGGTCGAAACCTACACAAGGTCACTTTAAAAACAACAGTTTGAAACTTAAGGCCATGTTCTTATGCAAATTATAAAATAAGAGGAAGAACTATTCTGTATGGTTAAAATGTTCCCGTTATCTCACCAACAACATGCCTTATGTCTACGAAAACCTAAGAGTTATTGTTACTTTTTAAAAGAAAACTACAATAGAAAGCATCATGTTGTAGCTCAATATTTGTCTATGATCAGTATTTTTCCCTGAAATAGCTTAATATTTTATGAAAGTGAGTCATTCAAAAAGTATTTGGAAATTTAAAAATCTGTGACTATAATTTGGACTAAATATATCATTACATGTAGAACACCAAGCTAAACTCTAAAACTAGAATTATTCATTTTTCTGTTAAGATGTATAGAGTAGGGTAAGCACTGAACTGCTAACTGCAGGTCAGAGGTTCAAATCCACCATTCGCTCCTTGGAAACTGTATGCAGGATTGGAACTGAGTTGGAGGCACTCAACAACAGTAACAACATGGCCTAATGTAGGAACCCTGCTGGCTCTGCAGGATAAGCACTGGATTGCTAACCACAAGGCTGGCAGTTCAAACTCACTAGCTGCTTTGTGGGAGAAAGATTAAGCTTTGCATTCTCATCAAAATTTACAGTCTTGGAAACCCTATGCAGGGTCCCTAAGAGTTGGAATTGACTTGATGGCAGTGGGCTTTGGGTGAGTTTATGGCCTAATAGCAAAGAGCTCTGGTGGGTGCAGTGGGTTAAGTGTTGGCCAGCTAACCACAAGGTCCTCAGTTCAAACCCAGCAGCTACTCTGAGGGAGAAAGATGACGTTATCAGCTCCTATAGAGATTTACAGTCTTAGAAACCCTAAGGAGCGGTTGTACGCTGTCCGAATCAGAACCAACTCGATGGCAGTGGGTTTGTTTTTTTGGGGGCATATTTAAATACCCATTAAAAGTCAAAACATAGCACACCTGTAGTATTGTAATTTATTGAACATTGTACACAGAATTAAATTTTATGTCTTGGGTAAGCATATAAGAATCATGGAAGGGAGGGTGCGTGCATGTGCATGGGACTGGTAGTTTTTTGATATCTCAGGAGTGCAAGGTATGAACCCAAAAGATAAATTAAGACCACTGTTATGGTTAGTAAATTTAATTCCAGTAAAACTGAGTTTGATTAAGTAAGATAAAAATGAAAAAACGTAACATATAACCATTCAAAGTACTTACAACTAAGACCTAATACAATTTAATAGTGAGTTAGGTCAATACTTTATAATTCATTTTAAAAACACTTTTTTCTTTTGTATGTAAAATAGAAACTCCTTAGTAAGAATACAGAGGTTTTTCTTTTCTTTTGGGTTTTCTTCCTTCTTTTTATCCCTTGCTACTTATAGTTACTATTTTAGAGCTTTAATTCAGAAGGAGGAGGAATCTTCTCACTAATTTCTTGCCACTGTGAACACAAAGAATTAGAGAAAACTACCCAAGAGCTCAGCAGGAAGTCTGATTTCTAGCACTGGATTAAGCTTTTTTGCAAACAGCAAATAAAGGCTGTGATCTGAAAAAGCTAATCAGAACCTGCTGTGGTATTTAGGCTACCTCAGTTGCTAGTATTGGATAATAGTAAGCACATTAAAACATCTGTAGGTGGAAAGACTGGCCCCAGTCAGATTTTTCCTAGTCACCTAGCCCCTGCCCACTGGGCTCTGGTAGGGTGAAAACAGACAACTGCCCAGAGCTCTGTTTTGGTTATTGCAAATGAATGAGCACAGTCCAGAGTTATGAGAGAAAACAGCCCAGTGTTGTTTGGAGTGATGGTGGTGGTAGCAGTTGTAAGCCATGGAGCCTGTTCTGACTCACAACAACTGTGTATCAGGTTTCTGAGGCTGTAAATCTTGATGGGAGCAGAAAGCCTCACCTTTCTCCCTTGGAGCCACTGGTACACATGAGCTGCTGACCTTGCGGTTAGCAGCTCAACTTGTAACCAACTACACTACCGGGGCTCCTTGTGTTAAGAGTGCTGTATATTAAAATCTCCAAATTCAAAGGGTGGATCTAACGTTGGAATCTTCAACAGTTTGGGAGGGCCCTGCACCTGTGCTGAGGCCTGTCTGAAACAAGAGTGTTTTGATGCTTGTATCTAAAATTGAGCCTCTTTCTCCAGTAATGATCCAAGTCAATTTTCTGGTATCTCTCTTCAAATATGGATTTGTTCCTCTTTCATATACAAGGGGATTCCAAAAAGTTCAGGGAAGAATGGAATTAAAAGATAACTCAACTGGGGCAAGATGGTAGAGTAATAAGCAGATGCATTTAGCTGACCTTCTATAACAAAGACAAGGGTGACCAAGTAAAACAGTAACAGAAGGTAATTCTGGAACACTGAGCTTTAGAGGTATCAACTGCTGTTGAGTTGATTCCCACTCATGGTAAACCCATGAGTGTCAGAGTAAAGCTGTGCCCTGTAGTGTTATGAAAGGCTGAGTTTTTAGAAGCAGACAATCAGGTCTTTCTTTTGCGGTACCTCAGGGTGTACTTGAACCTCTAACCTTTCAGTTAGCAGCCAAGTCTGTTAATTGTAAGTACCACCCATGGACTCCTTAGATATTAAACCAAACAAACAAAAAGCAGA